GGAAAGATTATATATAAATAGGATTAGGGTTTAGGGAATAATTAGAGAATAATTAGGGAATAATTAATATAATTAATAACAATACTTATAATAACAATAACAATAATAAAACCAATATTAATTTAAAAGTTTTCATCAACACAATTTAATTTATAATCATCAAAATCATTAAATAGATATAAAATCAGATTTTTAAAGCATAAAAATTCTAGAAAATCGAGAGAATATAAATACTCTTTAAAAATAATAATTTAATATTTTAAAATATCAAAAAAATTATTTAAACTAGTATCGAAAATTCATGGCCATTACACATTGAATCCATTGACTTCTTATATCCGCCCCTCAATCTAGTCGCACTACGTAGAGTATTCAGGAGTCTTACTGACCAGGGGACCAGGGGGCGGTGCGTCCCTGGTTGGGGGGTCCAGGGGGAGTGGACAACCCCTTGGCGAGGTTTAGGGCAGCGCCTCGAAGCTCCACCATATACACCAGGTTCTATATTGAGTTTCCTTACCCGAACACAAGCCTGAGGTCCAGGTTTTGCTGGTGAAACGCAGTCTTAAGATTTGTGTTTTACTAGTGGAATGCAGTCTTGAGATCTGTGTTTTGATTCTGAAACGCACTCCTGAGAGTTACGTTTTGGTTCTGTAACGCACTCCTGAGGGTTGCGTTTTGGTTCTGGAACGCATTCCCGAGAGTTACATTCAATTTGTGGAACGCGCCCCTGAAGGCTGCATTTTGATTATACAACGCACCACTAAGGGTTGTGTTCAGTCTTATTCACACAAAGCCTATGTTTGGGCTCATAGACGCGAGGCTTGCGTTCTGAAGTAGAAACGCAGAGCATAGGGTCACATTTAGGCTCACAAACACGAAACTCGTGTTGACTTGAGGATCGACATTCTCGGAGATGTGCTCATCGTACGGATCTATTCCTTCGTCGAACAGCGTTCTTCTTAGCTTGCTACAAGGTCTTGTCTTTGTAGCGACGTCACCATCTGTGTTGATCAGGTTTGTCGCCTGAATTAGCCTCTTATGACCCGTCACCCGTTGATTTGTCGCGGGTATAGATTCCTCGACTCGATTGATGAGTTTAATATAAGCTGAGCTCACTCCCTCGGAGGAGGGGCTGTTCGAGCAATCTTGGCTAAAGGAGAGGGTTTCCTTTGGCATAGGAGCAACAATTGGAGCTTTAGTCTCCTTGAAGATTTTATGGATCCTGCGCATAGCCTTGGGGCTAAGAGATCCGAAGAAGAGGAACTCTTCATACTTGGCTTGATCAAACTCCACAACGAGAGTTTCGACCATTGTTCCAGTGAGGTTGATGTCGGATTAAGCCACCACTTTTTCGTCAGTGAAGCTAGTCCCCAGCAGAGTCGTTATCTTTTGTTTGTTGGGAAAATTTGAAGAAGACAATTGAGAATATGATTTATTGTATTATCTCTCTAACTGGCTTTGACAATGAATGGATATAATTCTCTCAATACAATTTCTCTCTAACTAACTTAGAAAAAAAAATTACAATCTTCTTATATCAGAATCCCGATTTATAAAAGAGAAGAAGATCGACGGAGATGATCCTCTTTATTTAAAACTAGGTTCTTCATGGTAGTGATGAGAGGCCTCCCTCGACGTTAGTGTCGAATTTTCTTCTCGTTTACGATCCAACGTTTTACCTCACTGGATTGAAGTTGATAAAACTTGTGTGGCAAGTTTAAAAATAACTCTTAAGGAGTTTAAGAACTCCGTACGAGTTTAAACTCTGTAACAGAGTTGATTTGAACCAAAATTCGGTTAATAAGCCAAGTGCCAAGACTCCGAGGAGTTCTGTTGCCGAAGAATGCTTCCAAATCGGATGATTAAAGAAGCCCTTTGCTGATCTGTAGATCTGAAAAATGCTCAAAAGATCTAAAGATCTGAACTAAGCTGATCTTTCAGCTATTTATAGGTGATTAGGGGGTGTAATCGCCCCTAAAATCACTCCTCTGTGGGGTTTATGGGATATAACCGCCCCTTAAATCACTCCTGGGTGGAGTTGTGATCCCCTCAGATCGTGGGAAGCGATTTTAAAACCGTTCAGCTCGTGTTTGAACGAGTCAAACGTAAGAATTGCGTTCTGGCATGAATTTTGCATTCAAACACAACATTTGGAAGCTCGGACGCTGCGTCTGGAAGCTCGGACGCAGAGTCTGGAAGCTACGTTTGTAGTGCTTGGAAGCTACATTGGCAGTTTAAAAGCTACGTTTGGTAGTGCTTGGAAGCTGCGTTGGCAGCTGAATCTGAGCTGCGTCTGTAGCGTTTGGAGGCTGCGTTTTGCGGCCGAACATGAGTTACGTTGATAGATAGATCTGAGCTACATTTGTAGGGTTTGGAGCTGAATGTGAGCTGCGTTTGTGGCCAGGTTTGAGTTGTGTTTGCATTGCTTTGACTCTAGAACGAGGCCACTTATGTTTTGATTTGAAGAGACCGTCAATATATACTCTTTTGCTAGAGCGTTGTAAAGATTGTCATCTTGTAACCTTCGTCTTGGCTCCTTAAAAATATGAGAGTTATCAGATTGTAACTCCTGACGTTGATTGTGAAGACTCTTAAATTAAAGCTTTCATCGGTTGTTATGAAGGTTGTCAGATTGTAACCTTCATCGATCTACGTAAAAGTTTTTAAATTGTAGTCTTCTGGAAGCCATCAAATTATAACTTCCATCATTAGTGTTTGATATAGATTAACTATCTGCAATAATTTTTAGATAGCCTACAACGGTAAAAACAAACTACATTATAGCTTGTTGCATCGCTTTTTGTCTGCCTAAACTTGACATTTTTTTGGATGGCCCACAAACGAAATGCATGAATCAATTTCTTATTGATTTCAAATAGATCACCCTTTTTTAATGAGAAGTCATCGCCTTGTGTATCATCAACTACATTAGTGCCGTTAGGAATACTTTCCATCGTGGAGTTATCAATCCATTCTTCTCCATGAAGTTCATCGGGTGGCGAATCCTCTAACATGATATACTCATTGTTAGAGTAACATCCATCAATGTATTGGTTGTCCCCTTCATCACGATCTATCAAACACGTCATGCTATTGATTTGTAAGCCATCCTCTTCATCATCATCCTTAGATTCGATACTTATATTATCATCTTCTATCATCACTCCTATGAAAGACATCATATCTTTATAGGGAGCGCTATCATCGAAGGCATTTGAAGTGCCCACAAGCAAAGGGCCGCTCAAGTATTATGACTGTGTCCATCTTATATCTTGTTGCAGAGATAAAAAGCCTGCGGAGTCAACTTCAAGGTCCTCCAATATGCGAGAGTATACTCCATCGTGATTCATCGATTTGCCCAAATTTCTGTGATGCTTTTCAATAAATAATTCTACCGAACGCTTCTTGTCATGCAATATTCCAATAAGACTCAAATCGTAGTCACTTGAAATTTGAATGCCGCTTATTCTATTCCTCGTAAGAGGATAATTGCAAATAATGTTGAGGTAATACTCACGTGAATTGGTTAATGTAAGTTTATGTAAGTCATTAACCAATTCATCGAAAGTACATGATTTTGATTTAAACAATGACTTCGTCACATCTCCTTTATATACAAGCATATTATTCTCGATATAGTTAACATTTTCATCATATGAACAAAGAATTATGATTCGATCGTTCATCGTTACCTCTGAAGAGTAAAAAAATCCAATATCAATATTACACGAAAAACACAAAAAATATTATTTACTATTAAATCCTCTAATATCGATTTTAGACATTCCTAATTTTAACCAAAATGCCAAACCTTTATAATACACTAACTTTTACAATTTTCGATAATTTTCTCTCTAACTTCATACATAAATTTCTTTAATTTTATTCACACAATTCATAAATATTTCAAAATCTAAATTTAAACAAGTTATTGGCATAAAATAATGAGAATATATAAAAAATTAGGAGGAATTTTTTTTAAAGATTTTACCTAAAATTTGTCGATGTCTTATTTTCCGATGAACTCCAGCGATGACGACGACGGGATCGAACACCGATGGTGATGATTGGCCAATGCGGCGGCGATAGGGCGACAACAATAGGGTGTGTGGTAGGAGAAAGGGTTAGGGTTTGGTTTGGTAGTGAAGTAGGAGAGCGGGTTCGTAAATAAAAAGCCCATTTAACTTTCCGTCCCTGTTAGTAAACTCCCAAACATAGCATAACCCTGAGGGTTTGTAAATAAAAAGCCCATGTGCGACAGAGAGATTGTGGCGTAGGTTTCGCTCGTGGGATTCTCTCCCTAGAACTGCTCTGCCGTTTTGCCCCCATTTTCCTTTTTCGTTACCAGCATTTTTAGAGAGAGAGAGACAAGAAAAAGAGAGGTTTTTGTGGCGGTTTTGAGGCGATAGGAAGCGGTTTTCATCTCCCGTTTGGTGGTTTTCGACTAAGGTATAGCGGTTTGTCGATCCTTTGTGCTTTGCCTTCGACTTTCTAGGGTTACGGTTTTAGATCTGAGTGATACTCTAAAAGTATGTAGATCGGTTGTGTTTTACTTAGTTTATTGTTCGATCTCGCTTGATCTGTGTTTTTCTTGAGATTTTGTTGGCTGAAGACAGTATTTTTTCTGCTTATTATTAAGTATATAGTCCCTTTAGTGACTTTTTGTGGTCCTGGCGTCCAGATTCTTCACTTTTCGGTCGATTTTTAAGTGTATTGTTGCTTGAATAGAGGAGTGCAGATGATTTTACCATGTTTTTGTTTTTTTAGTCAAATTCTTCATCTTTTTCTTGAAAAGATTTTTCCTTTTGTTTCTAAGAATATTCTAACACGATGACAGTAGTATCTAAGATTTCAATTTTTTGGCTATTGAAGTTAGTGTTTCCTTTATATTCATTATTATTTCTAATTTACTTTGGACTACTTATTTGCGGAATTGCGTTAGTTTAGTTTTTTGGACTGCATCATAAGTCTGGTGTTAAAATATATTGACGAATGCCTAATAATTAAGTGCTATAATGTGTTATCTTTCAGTTCATGTACATGAGTTGTTCCTATTGTTGGTCTTCAGACACAATGAATCTGTTTGTTCTGCATTAAAGTTTGGCAGTAAGTATCTCATCATTCACTATAAGAAATCAACTGATGAAGATTGGCATCATAGGAATTATATTTTCCTATTTGCAGAATCTATGGAAGGCATCCTTTGTTCTCTATATTTATTGGACTTGGTATCTTGAACCTTCTTGTAATTAGTTCTCATTAGAGTAGAATTTCTCAATCTTCAAAACTATTTATGTGTGAAGCTTTTGTTGTTCTATAATTTTTGACTTAATTTTGTTACAATTCGCTAACTCAACAAGCAACACTTACATCCTTGCACTTTTTTTAATATGATATGATGTATTTGATTGACCCTTATGTGATTGTGAGGATACTTTATTGTATATTTATGTCTAGGTCTAATATTTATCTGCATGTACCTGTACGTTTGTTGATTTAGATGTGATATGTGGTAATTAGGATATTTATAAAGATATTAAAATATAATCACTATTTTTTCGGTGAACCCTTCAAACGTGATAAGTGGTATTAGGGAGTGAGGAAATGATTATAAAGGAAGTAGTGATAAGCTATTAATTGCAGAAAATAAAGTAAAAATATAATGGAGATACTAGAAAAATAAAAAAGGAAGTCCCAAAACAAGTACACTAATTATCAATCCTTTGATGTATGTTAGAACAGCTTTAGTCAACTGTGAGATGCCCACTAAGAATCAAAATTATCCAGTTAAATCACTTAAGCAACACATTAATGTACAAAATATACTAAAACAAAAACAGAACAATCTATTGACCAGAACCGGAAAAATCCCTAAATTTTTTTTGATGGCATTCTACTTTTCACTACTTTTTTTTTCTGTTTATAAGGGTTTGGTTTAGTTTTAGGCCCTGCTTTGGCTTCACCACCATCAAGTCTAGTGTTTCTATTTGTTGAAGAATGTCATATAATAGGGTTTACATTGTGTTCTTCCAGCCTATGCAATGTAAAATGTTCATTGTTGGTCTTGGGATACAATGAATATGGTCTTCCTTTTCACTGACATTTATTCTGCATTAATGTGTGGATATTAGAATCCTGTCATTTATTCTAAGCAATCAATTGATGAAGATTTTGGATTGTAATGATCAGATTTACCCATTTGCATAATGTGTTGAAGATAGTACCCTTGGGTCTATGCTTTTTTTACTCAATAGTCTGAACCATCTTATATGAAGTCCCTGGTGGAAAGTACTTATATTTTCGTCTTCACATCTTCTTGGGGATTTGTGTTTTGGTCTGGCAAGTGTGTCATTTGTGAATTTCTCTATTTTCAAATTTGTTTATGGTTGAAGTTTTTGTTGCTCCATAGTTTTCAACTGAACTTCGTCACAATTTGCAAACTTAACAAGCAACAGTTATGTCCAAGGTTATCGATAGCGGATAACATCGCAGCGAGGCGAGGTACCGCTAAGGCTATCTGGGGCTATTGCGGTAAAATAGCGGCAAATAGCGTGAAGTCAAATAGCGGTCAAATTTAGATATATTTAAACATTTTAGAAAATAAGAAAATTATAGAAAAATCTAAAAATTCTACAAATGCATATTTAATGATTTATAAAGATCTTAAGCATGAAATAGATGTGTAAGTGTAACAATTGCATAATATTAATAAAATTATTTGTCCAATTCATTCAACTTTTTTAAGTCTATAACACAAAAATTCTCAACAATAATAAAGCATTGATTAGTAACACCATCATTATATTAACTGCTAGAAACTTGACATAAAAAATAAAATCTTCAAGCATAGATAAATGAGCAAAGCAAGATAATGTCATGAATCATGATAGATAATAACAGTCTATAAATATTAAGCAATCAATGAAGATCAAACTGCAAATACATGACATGTCCAAAATCCAAAATCAAAGGTCTAAATTTAAGCAAAATAAAAGCTAGAAGTCCAAAATGGAGGCTTAGCTGGAGATTTGGTGCTGCAGTGCTAGAGAAGGTGAGTCGTGAGAAGGTGTGATCGGAGATGGTGAGACCGTGAGATGGAGCTCGATTGGACGTGGTGTTATTGCTGGAGATGGAGGTCAACTGGAGGTAGTGTTGTTGCTGGAGATGGAGCTCGACGGAGGAGGTTGCCGGAGGAGGTGAGAGAGAGGCGAGAGAGAGGTGTCGACTAGGGTTTTAGCCTCTAATGGAGGCGGTGACAGAGCGGCTTGCTGTCGGAGATGAGCTCGTCAGAGGTAGTCGCCGGGGGAGGGGAGAGAGAGAGAGGCGGTGGCGGCTAGGTTTTGGGTTAGGACTTGAGTCAGAGAGGCGAGAGATGATAGATTTTTATTTTATGGGTTCGGGTCGGGTTCGGGTACTCAATTTGAAAAGAATAGCGCTATTTAGTGCTTTTAAGCGCTAAACATCGCTATTTCAAGTAAAAAGCGGCTATTTCCGCAATCACACACTGTAGTCAAGGTTATCGGAGCGGTGAGGCGGTTGATCACCGCTTCCGTGATTAGTCCCACGATAGTGCTGCTATTGGGTGCTTTTTACAACACTGGTTATGTCCTTGCACCTTTTTTAATGTTATATATATTTGATTCATTTCTTGTGAGTTTTTTGGGATGCTTCTATCTTATTCTTGTAGATTTAGATTGACAATAATTTTTTGTGCATGTACTTATATAGTAACATGTTTTATATATTTCCTGGAGACATGTTGCACTTGTCATGTAATTATTTTTTCCACATTACATGTTTGACAAGTCTTATTTACTTTTATATATACACAAAGACTATACTTTGCTGGGAAAAATACTATAAATATTGTGATGTGTGTAATTAGTATAGCTATTTGTGTATAAAGTTAAAGGGCCTAGCCCTATTTTTGTGAATTCACAACACTGTACGGCAAGTTAAAACTTTAGTATAAATGTTATCACAATGATTGTCTCTTTAGCGTGCATGACTATGTGTATCCATGTGAAGTAAACATTGTAACCTTCAACCCTCACTGTAACTTTGGAGTTTTCCCTATACAATACATATACATATACATGTACATGAATTTCCATGGTCTGTGTTTATATTGTATTTCTGTCTCAGTACATTCATGTCACTTAGATTATGTGTTAGTTTTGTTTATTTGGGAACTTGTAACGTTGATATCAATATGATTTTCTGATTATATTGACAGTGAATATTAAGTTGGTTCTTCTTCCTTTTTCAGTCATTTAGTAATATTAAGTACTTATGTATACTATTGTTACTGTTAATTTTTTCTTCAGTGGACAACAATATGGTAAGGAAGAGAAGAACGGACCTCCCCGGCACTCGGGAGATGTCGGAAACACAAGAGCAAACTGGAAGTGGTGGGCGTGGACCTCAGCATCCTCCTGAAAGAGCCCCAGTCCATCATCAACAGGGACGTGGTGGAGGACGAGGTTCGGGTCCTTTCCAACCCCAACAGTCACAGTATGGAGGTCGTGGCGGAGGATACTATCATGGTCGCGGTGGCGGCCCACAACATCGTGGAGGGATGTCCACACAGTACCATGGAGCCCCAACTTCTGAATACCAGGGTCATGGAGGGCCTCAACATCCTGAATATCAGGGCCATGGAGGGCCACCATATCCTCAATACCAGGGCCGTGGAGGGCCACAGCCGAGAGGTGGTATGCCACAGCAGCAGTTTTATGGTGGGCAAAGGGGTAACGTGGGGCTGGCCTCTCTGCTGCTGGCCCGTCGAGGCCGCCGGCACCCGAGCTGCACCAAGCTATAGAGGGTCCAGCTTACCAGCCTGTCCAGTCATCTGTATCACAACCTAGCTCATCTTCAAGAACACAGGAGATGGATGTTGCTCGAGTAACGCAACAAGTTGAACAACTTTCTGTTCATCATGAAGCTGGAACAAGCCAGGCCATTCAGCCAGTTGCGTCTAGCAAATCCATGAGATTTCCTTTGCGACCGGACAAGGGCAAGTTTGGTCAAAGGTGTGTGGTGAAGGCAAACCACTTCTTTGCTGAACTTCCTGATAAAGATCTTCACCAGTACGATGTGAGTTCCCGTTAAGTATTTTTCTGTTGTTCAAATGGTATTTTTTGACGTGTTAAACTCAATGTATGGTTCAAACTGCCAGTTTAATCTTAAGAAGTAAATATTTTATTAGGTTTCAATTACTCCTGAAGTTACTTCACGGGGTGTGAACCGAGCGGTTATAGCAGAGCTAGTGAGGCTTTACCGTGAGACCCATTTAGGAGGTCGTCTGCCAGCATACGATGGAAGGAAAAGCCTTTATACTGCTGGACCATTACCCTTTCCCTCCAAGGAATTTCAAGTTACACTGACTGATGAAGACGATGGTACAGGAAAAGAGAGGTATTTTCTCAGAAGCAACAGACCTTGCTCTATTGTGTCCTTTCCTTTTTATATGCAGCATTATGAAAAATCTGAATTGTTTCTGTCCAGCAGGAGGCAGAGGCCTTTTAAAATTGTAATAAAATTTGCTTCCCGTGCTGATCTCCATCACCTAGCAATGTTTCTATCTGGGAGACAGGCTGATGCTCCTCAGGAAGCTCTTCAAGTTCTTGATATCGTTCTGCGAGAGTTGCCTACTGCCAGGTAATTATATATAGCTAATTCCATTGAGCAACATCCTTTTCATTTAACATGCAAAAATGTAAAAGTTTATGCTTTTTGATGGTTGCATAGGTATTGCCCTGTTGGCCGGTCGTTTTACTCACCAGATCTTGGAAGGCGGCAGCAACTTGGTGACGGGCTTGAGAGTTGGCGAGGTTTTTATCAGAGTATTCGCCCAACACAGATGGGCCTTTCTTTAAATATTGGTAATCACATACCATATACAACTATGGATATGGTCTTTTGACTTGAGTACTCGCTTAGACCCGTTCTAAGGGCCCGTTTGGTTTGATCGAAGTACTGGAAGTAGAAAATAGATTAAATAAGTAACTTCCAAATTTATGAAGTCGGAAGTAGTGGAAGTAATACTTTTTTGTTTGTTTGTTTCACATATTTTTTGAAGTAGTGGAAATACTACTTATTCTTCATTCCCTTTTTTTTGTTTGGATAGCAATGAAAATTGTTAGGAAGTAACTAATAAAGGAAATATGAGTAAGAAAATTTATGTATTTCCTAATTAATGCACATTTCACCTACATTCATGCTACTTCCGAGCCTTTGGATGGAGGAAAAATATTTAGGGAGTAGGGGTGACACGTAGACGCCATGTCAGCGTTTAAGGAAGTATTGGAAGTAGGTTTTTCAGAGAAACAAACATGTTTTTTTCTCGAAAGTAGCAAAAGTAGCATCTACTTTACTTTAAACTACTTCATAATTACTGCCGTGCAAACAAAAATGCTTTAAGTGAAAATAATCTACTCGAAAGAGCATGACAATGATGCATTGACAAAGTTGATCCTGTTGAAAATAAAGCTGACATGCTTCGTGGCTACTTCATCAATTATTAGAAGCATGAAAGCTGCTTTGAATATATGAAAGGTGTGGAAGGCTGTCTTATGACCAGTATTGTCCATATTATGTACTATGAGATTAAGATATGTCGAGAAGGCATATTCATCATAGAATTGTATATTCTAGGTTTCCTGTAATTATTTTTAAACATATTAGGAAGTTTAAGGCCATCTTACCAGTGTTTGGTACGTACCTTTTTTACAGAACTGGTGATTTCTAATATCTTGAAATCTAGAGTGAGATTTAAAAGGTGAAGTGGATTGAACTTGTTCTGTAACAAACAATATTTAGCGAATAGCTGGTATGAATTGCATTGTCACTAGTTGTAGCTAAGTAATGCTTTCAGCTATTTATACAAGCAATTTATTGGTGCATCTATTATCATGTTTCTATTTTTGTCCGTTTATCTATGATTGAAGAGGTAGTCCTTTTCCTGTGCGGGTTTATTCTCTATAAATTTTTTTCTGGCACGTGCTTGACTGCTGATAATCGTCCTTCTTTCACAGATATGTCGTCAACTGCCTTCATTGAGCCACTGCCAGTTATCGATTTTGTAACTCAGCTTCTGAACCGTGACACGTCACGACCGCTGTCTGATTCTGACCGCGTCAAGGTTTACTTGTTCTTACTTTGATTGCTTGACATTCTTTATATAATTAATGTTGTCTGAAATTAGCAATATGCTATTTTCACATGATTTGGTAGGCTATTTTGTAAAAGGTTTGCATGGGAGCTGTCATATTTTCTTAATGCAATTCAACTCAACTTTTCTGCTTGTCCAGAGTAAAATAAAATTTTTTGGGGATGTTTGTATCTGAATTATGATTTATTTTAAAAAAAATCTTTTGCTTGCCCATGAACCTTCTTAAGACTTTGTTTGATAAATTTATAGGTGGTGTTTATATTTTACTTTTATTCCACAATATTGGTTCTCTTTTCATATATGTGCCATATTCTCAGATTAAGAAGGCCCTTAGAGGCATAAAGATTGAGGTTACTCATCGTGGAAACATGAGAAGAAAGTATCGTATATCTGGTTTAACCTCGCAATCCACTAGGGAGCTGAGGTATATTTTCTTTTACTCGATACTGCTCCCGTTATAAGTTTTAACAACTCTTGATAGAAGCACTGGAATTTGGTTTCTGACAGCTCTTTATTTACCATTCGATTTTCCTGATACAAATTAATATGACAATCAACAGTTTTCCAGTTGATGAAAGAGGGACAATGAAGTCTGTGGTGCAGTATTTCCACGAGACTTATGGTTTTACTATCCAACGCATGAACTGGCCATGCTTGCAAGTTGGCAATCAGCAGCGGCCAAATTATCTGCCCATGGAGGTCAACATGCTCTGTCATTTTTTCTTACTTTCTCTCTGTGGTGTATGCAAACCAGTGATAACATGAGCATGCTTGTAAAATTATGTACATGAATTATGCTTCTTCTCAGTGGAATGTTTGCCACAGTCGTGTTGCTAATTATTGTGTATGAATGATTTCAGGTTTGCAAGATTGTGGAAGGTCAAAGGTACTCTAAGAGGTTGAATGAGAAGCAGATAACTGCTCTCCTTAAGGTCACTTGCCAACGTCCTCGGGATCGCGAGCTTGATATTGTTGAGGTAAAGCATCCTACTTTATCATTGCACTGCTAAAATCCCTTGCTGACTCAAATAGTTTGGCTAGTATTAAGATTTAGTGATGACAATACCTTAAATCAAGAAAGCAAGATTTTGGCAATTTTGTCTAATTTGATTGTTCAATGTATGGAGATCAATGTTCAGTAAAGATCTTTTTACCCTTTGCTTCTTTCCATGCAAATGTATCTGCGTGGGAATAACTGGAAACATTTATATAGGATTTTTCTATAGCAATAATCCCAAACATTTACATTGGGTTTACGTAGGATTTTAGTTGTGACTAGTAAATATTAGTGTTTTGTATTTTAGATCAAGTCAAATTTATTAATTCATTCATTACTGGTTAATAACAGGTTAACAAGTTGTCTAGTTGCTAAAATGAAAATTGACTTCTTCTTAGTATATATATAAAATTCCAGTTAGTTAAATTTGCATGAAGGTTGTTTCTCAATGTTATATTATATCATATCTTTGTCATGTGCTGAAATTAACTGACGGAGTTAATGATATATGCATGTAAGATTGGCTAATTTTCCTTTCTGCATTATTGCCGAATGCATAAAATTGCTGATGGAGATGACATATATGGCTTAACAAATTATGCTGCATTTTCCCTTCATGATTTCAAAGTGTGAATCTTTTTCGCAACCTGGGTGCTTGAGTTTTTTCCTCACTGTTTGATAAGTATACACCTTTGGGTCTCTCAAACTTTCCTTATTAACCGTCTTGAACAAAATCAGACCCATCTATTGTTTTGCTAGCACATTCAGAGAAAAGAAAGAAAAGGAACTACTTAGTATAGAGGAGCAAATTTAGCAGTTTGCACTAGTTCATTGAAGAATTAAAGCTGCCGTCAGCGGTAGAATCAGATCTTTGACCTGTTTCAACATGGCTCAAAACTTAACTATATTTTTAGATATATATGTGGATGCTAGCGAATGTCTTGTATAGATGTTTTTACGGTTGTATTGTGCTATTACAACTAGTAGATTTACTTCAGAATTGTCAATTATAGATATTCATTACTCCGATGTTTTACTTGTTCTCTAATATTAGATTTTCTTCAGAATAGTCAATTATAGATAATCATTAATTCAATGTTTTACTTGTTCTCTTAACATTAGGTCATTACTATTTTGTTTGTTTATGCTTTTACATGGTTCCTGCTGTGTGCTTATGTTTCCCTTTTGTTGATGTTCAGTTATGTTGTTTGCACAGGCTCCTAACAGTCTGATTAACTTCGTTTTTAGATAGTATATGTGGATTATGGTGTATGACACTTGTAAAGTTCTTGCCATGCATTGAATTTTAGATGCCTTTCTGACTTGATTTAATTTTGATTTATTTCCATTGAATGACCTGTGATAATGCCTATTATTTCCTATTTTAAATGGATTAGATCTATTTTTTTCTCATTTGCAGACAGTTCATCATAACGCATACCATCGAGATCCTTATGCACAAGAATTTGGAATTAAAATCAGCAATAAACTTGCACAAGTTGAGGCCCGGATTTTGCCTGCACCTCGGGTAAGTAGTAGTTGAAAGATTTTATGTCAACTATAATAATGGGTATGACAACTTTGCTAATTGATTTTTATCCTAATCCCTTATTTTTTAATCATTTGATGTTATAGCTTAAATACCACGATACTGGAAGGGAGAGAGATTGCTTACCGAGAGTAGGACAATGGAATATGATGAACAAGGTACAAGTTCAAAATTTGCGCTCTTACTACATTCATTTTGTAAGTCTGCAGCTTTGATATTTGTTGCAGCTATTATACTTGATGCTAATGCTGTTATATAAGTTACTTGGTAGTGTCTGATTTTCTTGGATCAAAGTTCAAGGTGTAGTAGTTCTTCATTGCGTTAAGGTCAAGTTTGTTTTGGCCCCTGCACGAGGTATAGATAGTGACTGAACCTGTTAACAACCTTAGGGCCTGTTTGGAAAACTACTAAAATTGGGCCAGGTTCAAACCTGGTCCAGTCTTAGTAGAGTTTTGTGTTTGGCAAATTTTGGGCTAGAGCTGGCTCAACTTTTTTTGGTTCATTTTGGAGCCTCTTAACCAGGCTAGAATTGAACAACCCCCACCTGGTTCAATTCTGGCCCGGTTAAAAAATAAAACACAGCGGTCCCAGTTTGGAGGGGTTTGCCAAACAGGCCCTTAGTTTATACCAGTCACTAATGAAGGCTTAAGATACTTCTAGGTTTGTTGCAAAATAATCCAAAGACCTTCAACGTCATAGAAGAATACTTGTGTCTTAATATTTTATTTATTTATTTATTTTTGTGTGAGCACTTGCTGGGGGTATAGATAGTGAGCTGAACCCCATTGTTAACCTGTAGGGAAATAGTTAAAAAATAATGAATTTTGATTAGTTTCTGACTTTAGTATTTTTGTTATGAAGAAAATGGTGAATGGTGGGAGAGTGAGCAGCTGGATGTGTATTAATTTTGCTCGCAATGTTGAAGAGAATGTTGCTCGTGGGTTCTGCCATGAACTAGCTCAAATGTGCCAGATTTCTGGAATGGTATGTACATTTCGATCTTTCATTCTCCCCTAAAATGTGGGTCCATTTTCCTTTTACAATATGATGATATATCATGTCGTTAGGTAAAACTAATTAAAGTAATTTGAGCTTCATGCAGCAATTTTCTTTAGAGCCTGTGCTTCCCCCATTAACTGCTCGTCCTGATCATGTTGAACGAGCTTTAAAAGCACGCTATCATGAAGCAATGACCATACTGCACCCCCAGAAGAAAGAACTGGATCTGCTTGTTGTGATATTGCCCGACAACAATGGATCTCTTTATGGTATCATCTTATTGCACCTTTTCTCTTCAATATTGTAAATTATTTTGGGTAAATTACAAGTAATTAACCTGCTTGTAGACCTTGTCTTGCTTGAAAGAACTACTTAAATGATCAACTAAAAACCTCTAATTTATGTTCATTGGGGAAACCATTAGTTTTGTAATGGAGTTTTGGTTCTTCAGATTTATGGGCAGATATATATGGCAAACATCTGCATGCTTGCATAATTCCACGACAATGATAAAAGAAAATGGATATATTACATTATCCAAAAACTATGTATTTGTTTCATCCTTTCAACTGCTAAATCTGTGGATTTGAAGTGTTATCCAAGTGCCTAACAAAGTGCAAACATCTGGCCAGACGTATGGATAACAAGAGCACAGTACAATATTAGCACTTTTGTTGATGGGTATGAAGGGTTTGTGAACTGTTTAGATGAAGGTTTTTTTTTTTTTAAAAATTTGAAAAGAAAGGTATACGTGAAACGAGTTTCTTGTATTTTATCCTTATTTATTATATGTGCCCTGATACTGGAGTTAACCTTCTCAGCTTTTCCATATCAACCACTCAATCATTGTTGTGAAACTCAAAATTGTCTTATTGCAGTATTTATTACTATAAGTTTCATGTTATACATTTTACCGTTATTAAGATTTTTGTTCATCTCTGTCCTTTTGTGGCAGGGGATCTAAAAAGGATTTGTGAAACTGAGCTTGGGGTAGTATCCCAATGCTGTCTCACAAAGCACGTATTTAGGATGAGTAAGCAGTATCTTGCAAATGTTGCTCTTAAGATAAATGTAAAGGTCAGTTGATTCACATCGACTTGTCTGCTTTTCCTTCTTCGGCTATATTTTCTGCATTTTCTGTAATCAGCAACTTTTCTTTGTAAAGGTTGGTGGAAGAAACACAGTTCTCGTTGATGCTATTTCTAGGCGCATACCACTGGTTAGCGACAGGCCTACAATTATTTTTGGTGCAGATGTTACTCATCCTCATCCTGGAGAAGATTCCAGCCCTTCTATTGCAGCAGTAAGATGATTAATTATTAAGTGGAAACAGAGTTATAATGCTACTTTCTATGATTTCTTGTATAATGATTCAATATTGTAGTGATGTCGATATTTGCTAAATTTCGCAACCCCCTCTTAACTCCGTTTTGCAGTGAGGAGGGGGTGGGGTGCGGGGTTGCAAAATGGCAAAAAACCCCCTCTGAACTTTATAAGTTATAGAAAATAGCTGAACCTCAGATACTAAACCCTAACTATTGGAGAGAGACTTTTTATCTGACCAGTTATTAGCAGATTCATATGGGGATAAATGGTTTTAGGTTTATATGGGTCGACCCAAACTGCCAGTTTATTAATTGGGTTAGTTCGGATCAACCCTAAATGACCCTTTTTAACCCATTCAGTGACTGGTTCAGTCATGTAAATGGGCAAACCTAGATTATATTCTTTCGCAATCCCCACCATTCCAGGTACGCCATCGCCATCTCCATCTCAGTTGCTGTTGGCCGTCTGCTGCTTATACCTGATGATGGTGGCGATAGTTAAGCAGAGGAAATTATAATGTTTGGTTATAGAGAGGAGATGAGGGATAGGTCCAAGAAAATAATCATCTTTGTTATGGGGTATAATGATTATGAAGTAGAAGAGATAAGAAGTAAAAATTTATTAGATGCTATTTTTTACTGTAAAGTTTTGATTAGCTGGTGCCGACATGTGTGGATTCAAGGTTGGGGCTGTGGGGGCAATCGCCACCACTGACCCCCTATGATTAATACTTAAATATTAGGCTCTTATTTCAAATTGCCCCCTTAATATTTGATTTTATTGATCCCTCAGCCCAAGGATTTTGAAAATAAATGCCTAAATGGACCAAACTCAAAACCGTTTACCAAAATGCTTTGCCCAATGCCTAAACTCTCATCAATGATCGATTCCCTTAAATTCTGAAACGAAAACCCCTGTGGCCTTCGCTTCTATGTAATCGTGAGAGGAGTCTACTTGCGAATTGTGAGGTATGTAGAGGGAACAATTGTGAAGAATTTTAATAAGATACTTCTATTGCATCTATTTTATTTATACTCAGCACATTTCATACTGGCGTCATTAATATTAGGTTTTTTTGGAAGTCATCCAAATCCATCATACTTAGAGATTAGTCATCTTTATCTTCAATTTTAAAAATTAGTCCCCCCAAATACGTTAAGTATTTGAAATTAATTCCCCAATTCTTTCAACATCGTACTAACTAGAGGGACTAATATCAAAACACTCAAGAGATTTGGGAGATTAATTTGGAAGTATGAAGATTTGGGGGCCTATTTCAAAACGCTAAAATTTCTAGGGGATTAATTTCAAAATTTGAAGACTCAGGGGGGACTAATTTTAAAATATGAAAGATTTGGGGGACTAATATTGAAAAACTCCTAATATTTAGCTTAAAATATCATATACTACTTGACACTTGTAAGCTTATAAACTTGTCCCCTATGACCAAAGTTTCTGGATCCGCCCCTGGGTGCCAATATATAGGAGCCGTTGATCTATTATCTTTGTCATGTTAGATGTGCTATTATCATGCTTGCAAATTGCATTGACATTTTTCTTGGAACCATAGTTGAGGGACTAGACTCTGAAGTTTAGCTTTTATGTTGTATATATGTTGTAGAACTACATATAATAATCTCAATCTCTAGTACATTTATGGTCCAGATTTGTCTCGTGCACATGCATGTCTCCGTAAATCAAAATGTGCCTTAGAGGAGCTATGTCTGTGTTGTGGCGCTGGTGCTTCCAATTTTAACATTACAGTAGCAACCCCCCTAGAAACAATGTATCATGATAGTAGTTTCATAAATGGGTTATTCAGGTCGGATGCCCCTTTAATAGGCTGGGTCTCCTGACCCATTTATTAAACACGTTGGGTTTGGTTCAAGTTTAAATGGGTTTGGTCAAAGCTGAACCAACATGAAGTGATCTGACCCGATTGATTTGCTAACACTAGCTAAACCCCACAAAGTTCATGGTGGAAAAGGGTTGAGTGTTTCTCTCAGGTGCAATTTAGTTCATTCTTCTTTTGGACTTTGCAGGTTGTTGCCTCTCAAGACTGGCCGGAGATCACGAAGTATGCAGGATTGGTTTGTGCTCAGGCTCATCGTGAGGAGATGATTCAGGATCTTTATAAGGAGTGGAAAGATCCTCAGAGAGGACCTGTCTCTGGTGGGATGATAAAGTATGTTAATTTAATAGCACACGTCAATTTAGTAATTTATTCTCGTGCTTAGTATATCAAGAAACTTATCCACCTCTCAATACTTCCAGGGAACTTCTTATTTCGTTCAAAAAAGCAACTGGAGAGAAGCCTCAAAGAATTATATTTTACAGGTAATTCAGTTGCATAGTTTAAGTCACATCTTTGGCCAAGTTTTGACGGTATTTTTATTCAGGGATGGTGTTAGTGAAGGGCAATTCTATCAAGTCTTACTGCATGAAGTTGAAGCTATACGAAAGGTACCTGTATATATGCCGTGAGAAGTTTATTGTTCTAATCATTAATGGTGTTTCCTAGCAGAAAGTTACATTTGTGTAATAAATATGTTTTAGGCATGTGCATCTCTGGAGGTTAATTATCAGCCACCGATAACCTTTGTAGTGGTTCAGAAACGTCACCACACCAGGCTGTTTGCTGAAAATCATTCAAACCAGCATTCAGTCGATAGGAGTGGAAACATTTTGCCAGGTCCTTGCCAATGATATTTCTTTGTTTTGAAAGTACGAGATTTCTTATATTGCAAAATTCTTTTCCTTGTATTTATCATTTCTTGTTAATTATCAGGAACTGTTGTCGATACCAAGATCTGCCATCCTACCGAATTTGACTTTTACTTGTGCAGTCATGCTGGTATCCAGGTAAGAGTTCTTTCATTTTATTTGTTAATATTCTTGAACTTCTGTTCTAATAAATAAATATATATTTTTCCTATAGGGCACAAGCCGTCCTGCTCACTACCATGTTTTATGGGATGAGAACAAGTTCACTGCTGATGGACTGCAGTCACTTACAAACAACTTATGCTACACGTAATGACCTTCCCCTTGTGACGGTTTTTGATTCACCCTACATCAGTGTTTTTTTATTACTGATTCTACATTATTTTCTTATCCAGTTATGCAAGATGCACTCGTTCTGTATCCATTGGTAAGCTGCTTCATTGCCATCTTACTTTTTTTGTTGGGGTCTTTAAGATGCGTTTGACAATGGGAAAGTAAATGGAAAGTGAAAGTGAAGAGGAGACCCTTCCTATTTGCAAAACTTCTGGGATAGAAAGCGAAAAGATCAAATGTTAGGCTCCGTTTGAATATCATGGTGTTTTCCTTGTTTCCATAGTGTTTTTGCCGAAAACAAAACACAATGCGCTTGGAAACCATGATGTTTTTTGAGTTAAATCTTCCTCAAACAAAAAACACAATACTTATTTCAAAACACCTTTTAGGTGTTTTAAATTTGATTTTTTGGTTTGAGTTTGAGAATGTGTTAATATAATATCTAACATAATATATTAAATGTAATTAATATAGAGTTATCATCAACATGCTTACTATATTATACTATATATTATATTATATTATAGTTAATTTAATATATTAGTAATATTTATTAAATAATATAAAAATATAATAAATAAAATATTTTATATAGGGAAAAATGTTTTGAGTTTGAGAATGTGTTAATATAATATCTAACATAATATATTAAATGTAATTAATATAGAGTTATCATCAACATGCTTACTATATTATACTATATATTATATTATATTATAGTTAATTTAATATATTAGTAATATTTATTAAATAATATAAAAATATAATAAATAAAATATTTTATATAGGGAAAAATGCTTCCAGCTCCCAAAAGCCAAGAAAACATGCTCCCCCCTAAGACTTTGTCAAAGGGTGTTTTGCCCCCAAAATTAAAGATTTTGTTCTCTAAGCCCCCAAACACAAAATCCAAAAGATTAAAATATGTGAAGATCATAATACCCTTCTCTTTCTTTTTTTATCATGATGTACTGAGATGATAGTTGTAATGATTGATGGGGATTATTTTATTATTTTTGTTTTTTAGTATTTTCGTTGTTTGTATTGGAAGATTGTTAAAATTATGAGTTAATTGTTAGGTTACGAGTTAATTGTTAAGGTTACGGGTCAATTGTTAAGGTTATGGATCCCCCCTCTCTCTCTCTTTATCATGATATTACTGTGATGATGTTGAAATGATTTAAGGGGATTGTCATTTTATTATTTTTGATTTTTATTATTTTTCGTATTTTTAGAATATTCGTTGTTAAGGATAATGGTTGGTTATAAATGTTATGCATAGATTGTTAAGGTTACGGGTTGGTTGTTAAGGTTACATGTTTGTTGTTAATGTTATGAGTTTGTTGTGTAGGTTACGGGTTTGTTGTTAAGGTTACGGGTATAATTGTTAAGGTTACGAGTCAATTATTAAGATTACGGGAATTGTTAAGGTTACGGGTCACTTTTCTCTCTCGTAACCTTAACAATTAAACACGTAACCTTAACAATTAAACTCGTAACCTTAACAATTAACCCGTAACCTACACAACTAACCCGTAATCTTCACAACCAACCATTATCCTTAACAATTAACAATTAAACCCGTATCCTTAACAATTAAACCCGTAACCTTAACAATTAACCCTTAACCTACACAACAAATCCATAACCTTAACAACCAACCCGTAACCTTAACAACCAACCCGTAACCTTCACAACCAATGCAACAAATCCATAACCTTAACAACCAACCCGTAACCCAACCAACCCGCAACCTTCACAACCAATGCATAACCTTTACAACCAACCATTATCTTTAACAATTAATAATTAAATTCGTAACATTAACAATTAAACTCGTAACCTGAACAATTAAACCCGTAATCTTAACAACAAACCCGTAACCTTAACAATTAAACCCGTAACTTACACAACAAATCCATAACGTTAACAATAAACCCGTAACCTTAACAACCAACCCGTAATCTTAACAATCAATGTATAACCTTTACAATCAACTATTATCTTTAACAACGAATATTATAAACATACGAAAATAATAAAATAACAATCCCTTTCAATCATTTCAACATCATCACAGTAACATTATGAAAGAGAGAGAGAGAGAGGATTCATAACCTTAACAATTGACCCGTAACATTAACAATTAACTCGTAACCTTAACAATTAACCCGTAACTTTAACAATCTCTCAATACAAACAACGAAAATAATAAAATAATTCTCATTAATCATTTCAACTATCATCTCAGTATATCATGATAAAAAGAGAGAGAGATGGGTATTATGGTCTTCACATATTTTAATCTCTTGGGTTTTGTGTTTTTGGGGCTCGGAGAGTAAAATCTTTATTTTTGGGGGCAAAACACCCATTGACAGTCTTAGGGGGGAGCACGTTTTCTTAGCTTTTGGGGGCTGGAAGCATTTTCCCCTTTTATATAATAATATAATAACATATTAAATACCAATATTTAATATGTTAATAATGTATTATATAATAAATAGATAATAATAAAATATTAATAAACTAGTAAAAATATTAAAAAAAGTTATTGATAATAAATAATAATATAATAATATACTATACAATAGTATCATCGTTATAATATGATTAACTTTTTAATTAATAATTATAAACTATTATATAATAGTAACATATTTAGTAATAACATAACAATAAAATAATATTATAATAACATTTAATAGTAAATGTAGATAATATATAAAATATTAATATTATAAAGTAAAATAATTTTTAATAATAAAATAATTTATTGCTAAAAAATGTTAATGTAAAAATAATATATTCATAATATAATAATATTTATTAATATCATAAATACTAATATATTATTAAAGTACTATTAATAAACTAACATATTAAAAAATATAATATATTATATAATATTAAAATATTTATAATATATTAATTTATTAATAACATACTAGTAATAAGATAATATTAACATTATTAATAATATTATATTATATGAATAATAGTATAATATTATATTAAAAATAAAATAATATTATTATCAAAATATTAATATAATATACAACAATAACAAATTGATATACCAAAATATTTAAATATATAATTATTTGA